CCACGACCGCCAACTTTAACTTATACTAACGTACGTAAACGGGTAACGGTAGTAGTACGTACGTATTAAAGTTAACGGTAAACGGAAAAGTAAGTAGTACCCTCCTCTCTCTCTCTCTCTCTCTCTCTCTCTCATCGACGGAAGACGTCGTCTCCGGGCAGGTGGAAGCAACGACGGGTGCGGGTCATCAGGTGGGGCGCACCATCGATGCTGACCGCGGTGGTGAAACTGCTGACCGCCTCATTCCCCCTTTCTCTCTCTTGATTTTAGGTAGGCGCTTTCTCTATCTAAAATGTATTATCTCTTCAGATTTTTTAGGTAATCTTTCAATTATTCTCTTTTTTTTTTATTTAGGAAAAAGAAAAAGGAAAAAAAGAAACGCGAGGACTGATTATAAGGAATCTTCTCCGGTCGTTTCGAAAGTCATGCGTTTCATACCCGGTCAATCGCCCAGTAAACACGTGCCGAGACTACACGCATGTGTAAGAGTATATGATTATAATTTGGGTGTCATTTGAGGTGAATTTAGTGTTGGTTTAGATATCAAGGCGGGTGAGGGTGGTGGTGGTGGGCCAGAGCAGGGAGGAGAGAGAAAGAAGCTTTTGTGCGCAGGCAGCTTCGTCTCTCCTCACCCTCTCCTCCTTTTCTTGCCTTTGTTGACTACTGGTTAGAGAGAGAAAGCTATTATATTGTGAGCGTGCATTTCTTTTCCAATTGAGAGAGAAAGGTTTGGGGGAGAGAAAGTGAGGTCCATCATTTCCTCTCTCTTTCCTGCAGAGCCCATATACATATTCTTTAACCCCCTCCCCTCTTCCTCGAGGAGCGGGGCGCGGCGGCCACTCTTCCCTGTGATTTTGCTCTCCATCTCTCTAGATTCCGAGTTGCAGAAGGACGTAAGTCTCATAAGGTAAGGGTTTCTTCCTCTCCTCTCTATCCCTTGCCACGTTTCTCTTCCATAGCTCGTTTTTTATCTGAAATTTTGATGAGAGAGAAGATGGGGTTTCTCTCCCATTTCTCTTCCATGGCTGGTTTATTGACCGAAATTTTAATGGCAGAGAAGATGGGGTTTGTCTCTCCTTTCCCTTTTTTCTTCCATGGCTCATTTATTGTCTGAAATTTTGATGAGGCACTGTTTCTGTAATTTCTCAATTTTGTCTGCTTTGAGACTTCGGATCCTCTAATGAAAGAGAATTAGAAGGGTGGTTTGATTTTTAGAGTAGAGAGAGAGAGAGAGAGAGGAGATCTAGTTTAGAACTTCTCTC